ATATATATTTGTTCATTCAAGACATCAGACTTATATCAGTGACAATAGTAGTGATTGCACTGATGATGAAAGTGTTTTCGAATATTCTGTGCTCTAGGTCTCAGAGGAAGGAGAACGAGGCCGAGGCTCTACTGAAGGACTCTATTAACTATGGTCCAAATTTTGCTGATGCCTACTCCAGTTTGGCTTCACTCTATGCTGACCAGGTAAAACACTCAGAATAAAAAAATAGGGGAGCGTCAACTGTTTGTCCTTTAACTCGTGGTGAAATTTGACTAACATTGTTGAGCAATAGTTTAATTATGATGATATGATTATTTCCACTGGTCATTGTCAATGTAATAACATGTGACAATATAAAGTTGAACTATTTCCATCCACTACCTAAAAAGACGCCAGTCTTTCTCACTGTTTGGCATTAAGTCAGATTAAATATTTTCTAATTCATGTAAGTCAAGATCCCCAAAATGATTTATATTGCTAAATGCCCAAAGATGAGAGATCATTTTTTATGACACTTCAAAGTCACAATTTTGAACGAGTTTTATAAGTATTTTGTAGCATTGCTTTTAAAATGCATGACTTGGGCCAAATGTTTTAAGGATCATTCCACAAACTGTTTAGAAGAGTTTTACTGGAAGTGTTTCCCTCTCCTTTTGACAAAGCTGGTGTAACTGCCAGTTAGTCAGGTTTGTAGGCTGCCTTGCTCGCACACGCTCTGGCCATAATCTTTCTAAAGGATTGAGATCAGGGCTTTTTGATGGCCCCTCCAAAGCATTGACTTTGTTGTCCTTCAGTTCCTTTGTAATTAATACGGCAGTATGTTATGTTATTGTCCATTTGAAAGATCTATTCATGTCCAAGCTTTATTTTGTTGGTTGTCGTCTTGAGATGTTGCTTCAATATGTGATTCAGTGTTTAACACATTGTTCCTTATTGAGTCAACCTTTATTTATCTAGATTAGTCTCAATGAGTCACGAGGACTCATTTTCAAGAGAGATCTGTTTTAGACAGAAAACATATAAAGTACAAATAGTAATATAAAACAATAAAAAGCAATTAAAATAAAAAAGAAGTGTTATAATAACAATCAAATCAAGGTGTTAGATTAAACAAGGTGAAATACTAACAACATATTTGCTTAGATTTTTCTAATGATATTATCAAATGTTTAAAATCCCTTAAAGAAATTAAGGTGTACTGCTTCAGATCTTGTTGCAAGGTATTCCAGGTTACAGGAGCTGAGTAAGAAAAGGTCTTTTTGCCAAGTTCAGTCCCCACAGAGGGAATGCTGCATGGCCTGAGAGTGCACGTTGTAACTGCACTCACAACGTGACTTGTAGGAAGACATATAAGAAGGTAGAAGACCAAGGATGGATTTATAGATGAAAATGAACCAGTGTCAGAGCCTGCGTGTAGATTATGATGACCAACTGACCAAGGAATACAGGGTGCAGTGATGGGTACGGTAGTTACAACCAGTTATGAATCTTAGCGCGCCATGGTAGACAGCATCCAACATCTGCAAGGAGCAGACAGGAACATTTACTGTATGTAAATAATGTCACCGTAGTCAATGGCTGGTAGGAAAGTAGCAGCTACAAGGTGTTTCCTAGCATTCAGAGTTAAACAAGATTTATTTCTTAAAAAGAAACCCAGTTTTAATTTCAATTTCTTTATCAAGTTTTCAACATGTGACTTAAAAGAAATCCATGTGCACTAATTAAAATTCCCAAGTGTTTGTAAGGAACACCATGCATGGATGAGATAGGAGGAAGAGTTACTGGCCCCAACTTTCTGTTAGAAAACATCCCCTTGCTTTTATCAGCATTTAGCTCCAGTTTGAGATGGAGCAAGTCGGGCTGAATGATGTCACATGCAGACTGTAGAAGCTGGACAACCTTAGCAACTGTGTTAGCTCGACAATAAACAATTGCATCGTCAGCATAGAGATGTAAGGAGGCGTCAGGAATGTTCTAACCTACATTACTTGTATAAACCATTAAAAGAGTGGGTCCTAAATCTGAGCATTGTAGCATTGATTGCATCTTCTGTATTTTGTGAAGTACACTTGTCCCTTCAGCTGATGGTTTATTGCAAAACACCAGCCGTAATGTGTCACTCTCATGGGTTAATCTGCTCTTTAGCTTCATTTTGTCAAACTGTTAGAAAATTATGGTCTGATTTCCTGTACTTGGCTGTTGACTTTTTATTTTCCTATAAATTTGACAGTCAAAAGGCACATTTTATAATGTGGGACAAGTCCACAATTTTTGGTGTTTCTTTTTTGTGGTGAAATTTTATCTAGGTTCACCCTAAAATTATATTAAAATCCATATTTTTGTCCAAACTTAAAAAGAAAAGTTAAACTAGTGGAGAGAAAGTGAAAATTATTGTCTTTGGAAAACTATGTCCGATAGAATCCAATCACCTACCCCTGAGCCTGGAGGGTTGTTTTCACTCAGCACTCTTGATATTTTAAATAAATCCATGTTTATATGTCTGTTAGTTAGCAATTTTGCTTTGTTACAGGAGCTAGTTGTTCTGTAGTGTTTGTTGGCATTCATTCTTGTTAACACTGTATTTATGTCATTTGTGTTTGCTTACAGAAACGCCTATCTGAGGCAAAGGAAGTGTATTTAAAAGGTATAGGAAACTGTCCAGACAGCTCCGACCTTCGTAACAACTATGGAGTATTTCTAGTGGATGCAGGTAAATTAAGACTTTGGTATTTCTGGCTGTAGGTTGAGCGACTGTAGGCGGCACAATGGCTCAGTTGGTAGAGCTGCCACTTTTTAGCAAGAAGGTTGCTGGATTGAATTCCAGTTGGGGACCTTTCTGTGTGTAGTTTGCATGTTCTCTCCGTGGGTTTTCTCTGGGTACTCCAGTTTCCTCCCACAGATCAAAAACATGTATGTTGGACTGACTGTTAACTCTAAATTGTCCCTAGGTGAGAGAGAGTGAATGGTTGTTTGTCTCGTTTGTCTCTGTGTCCCTGTGATGGACTGGAGACCTGTCCGGGTGTCCCCTGCCTCTCGCACAGTGCTGGCTGGACATGGGCACCAGTGACCCTGCAACCCGAAAAGGAAGAATGGTAAAAAGTAAATGGTAAATGGACTGTACTTATATAGCACCTTTCTATCTTATTTCAAGATACTCAAAGCGCTTTACACTACAATCAGTGTCCTAATTTACACATTCATACAGCACTCTACTAGATCTCTACAAAGCTAACTGAACAAATCATTCTAAAGAGAATAATCACTAGGGGTGCACCGATTTCAATTTTCAGACCGATCACCGATTTTTTGAAAGTCTGAACTGCCGATTCCTATTTTGGCCGATACCGATTTTTTTTTATAAGCAACAGTGTCAGGTGTTAAAAGATAACAATGCACCTTCAATTTACCAATCTTATTTTATTGTAAAACACACCCTTGAAAAATACCCTAGAAACAATACAAACTTGTTTTAACTTGTCATGAGGTAGTATTCTGAAATATAAATGAAGTTTACACAATTTTTGTTAAAACTATAAAATTAACCAAAAAAAAAAAATGTTCAGTTCCTTCAACTCTTTCACTTGTTTCATTAAAAAAAAAAAAAAACTTAAAAAGATAATGCAACAAGTGTAACATTTTCAAGTCAGTGGGTAATAAGAACTAACACTGGTACAGGTAAGTTAGTTCTCACAGACTTATTCCAGTCACTTTCATTAGTGGCAGGTTTTTCTTGATGAACAAAAGCATTTCTGCTTTGTCACCAGACAGGCGACTTCTTTTCTCATCTACTACATGTCCAGCCAAGATAAACAGGCGCTCGCTTTCAACGCTTGTGCATGGGGCAGAGAGATAGGTTCGGGCAAGTAGAGCAAGATGAGGGAAACGATTTTCATTGATCTTCCAGTAGACCAATGGGTCCTGGCTCCTTTCGACAGGAACCTCAGATAGGTAGTTCTGTACCTGCATAGCTGAAGGGCTGGCCAGCTGTTGCTCCTGTTCAATGTTCTCCTTCAAGATTTCGTCGTGAGCTGCAAACAGTAGACTACGCCTTTTGGCTGCAGGTTTATCTATATCAGGAGGTCCCACTTCAGAGGATGTTCCTGCAGCAGGTGTGCATCTGGTCTCCCCCTCTGCAAGTTTGGTCAAAAGGAGCAGTTTCACGTCATCTTTCACCTCTGCTGAGAAGTAGCCATTCTTGTACCTTGTTTTGCATAAACAAAGAAAGATGGGTCAATCATTGTGTTTTGTATACATTAACAGTTTTTATGACTTGCATGTAAATAAAGAAATGCATTTCAATCAAGAAATTTTTAATTTAATTTAATTGAAATGTTTGTTGAAATATAGTAGTAGGCTAAAAGTAATTATGGCTAAAATAGAATGTTAATAGTTACTTGCCTTGGATCCAGAACAGTGGCCAAGCTGTACAGGGGCTCATGCTCAATGTTGCTGAATAAAGTCGGGAATAGGCAAGTGATGAATGCTTAAAATGTCCAACAGTTCTCCTTCCTGTTGCCACCATGTCTGTGATGCTGAGCTGCGCCAGCTGTCCCTCATTTACAACCAGTTGCAGTGTGTGTGCCAGGCAGGGTAAACTTTTCAGGTTGATATCATCCAGCGCTTTGGCCATATTACGAGCATTATCCCGTAAAACAACGTGAACTCTTCCATTATCGATTTCCCAGTGATTCAGCATCGCCTTAAACTCTGCTGATAAATTGGCCACAGTGTGAGACCCCGCCATTTCTTTACAGTTTAAGAGTAATTGATGACGTTCGAACTGTTCGTCAATCCACTGTGCAGTAAAACTTAACATGGACATTAAACTTACATCAGAAGTCCAGATGTCTGTTGTAAAGCTGAGTGTATTTGTATTAGCTTTTAGCAGGCTGCGGGTGTCTCTCGAAACTTGGCTGAACAACTCCGGTAATGCAACATCAGAAAAATATTTCCGACTCGGCATATTATATCGTGGGCACACGTGCTGCATCAAGCTTCTAAAACCTTTGTCCTCAACGACTGAAAATGGCTGGTCGTCTAATGCCATGAACTCCATCACTTTCCTCGTGGTAGCTTTGCTCTTTTCGTTGCTCATAAAAGCAAACAACGGCCCAACGACTGGCTCATTGTTAGCGCTAGCTTTAGCATCAGCCTTAGCTTGGTTGCTCTCTTCAAACATTGCATACTTGGCGGCGTGGTGATTTCTTAAATGGCGAACGAGTTTTGTTGTATTAAAGGTTTTGGTGGTGGCTACACCACGACTTACTTCGGCTTTACACGAATTGCAAATTGCGATCTTTAGCTCATTTTCTTTTACAGCGTAGAACTTCCAAACTGACGACATGGCTGCTCCGAGTGACCTGTGTGTGAGCTCTCACAGTGGAGCAAAAGGGGACAGCAGCTGATTTTCAGACCTTTCCGGAGGCAGATACGATCGGTGGATAAAATCGGCTTCTCATTTAAAGATCGGCCGATCTCCCCAAATTAAGGAAATCGGGGCCGATCGATCGGCCGGCCGATTTATCGGTGCACCCCTACTAATCAGTGCTTTTTAGATCACATTCATACACTGATGGGACACACATCAGAGGCTATGAGGGGTTCAGTGTCTTGCCTAGGGACACTTCGACATGCGACTACTGGTGGATTCAAACCCCCAACTCTCGCATTGGAGGACGACTGCTCTAACCACTCAGCCACAGCTGCCCCGGAGAATCGGGGGTTCGATTCCATCAGTAGTCACATGTTGAAGTGTCCTGAGCAAGACGCTGAACCCCTTGTTGCCTACAATGTGTATCCCATTGGTGTATGAATGTGATGTAAAGCAGGGGTTCTCAAACTTTTTGGGTTCAAGGACCCCTTATAGGGAAGAAAAAGTTTCAGGGATCTCCTCATAACCCTCATGTTTATTAAATAATTTTCTTCAATTTGTCTCGATGGGGCCATCGCAGTTCGATGATTGACTTTGTCGTCGTCTCATCTGATCTTTGGCCACATGTCTTGGACACTCGGGTGAAGAGAGGGGGGAACTGTCAACTGATCACTACCTGGTGGTGTTGGCTCCGATGGTGGGGGAGGATGCCGGTCATATCTGGCAGGCCCAAACAAATTGTGAGTGTTTGCTGGGAACGTCTGGCAGAGTCTCCTGTGAGATGGAGCTTTAACGCCCACCTCCGGGAGAACTTCGAACATGTTCCGGGGGAGGTGGGGGACATTGAGTCTGAGTGGGACATGTTCCGTGCCTCTATTGTCGAGGCGGCTTACCAGAGCTGTGGCTGCAAGGTTGTCAGTGCCTGTCGCGGCGGCAACCCTCAAACCCAGTGGTGGACACCGGTGGTGAGGCATGCTGTCAGGCTGAAGAAGGAGTCCTATCGGGCCTTTTTGACCTGTGGGACCCTGGAAGCAGCTGATGGGTACCGGCAGTCCAAGCGACATGCGACTCAGATGGTTGCTGAGGCAAAAATTTGGGAGGAGTTAGGAGAGGCCATGGAGAATGACTTCTGCACAGCTTCGAGGCGATTCTGGTCCACCATCCCACTTCTCAGGGAGGGAATGCGGTACACCACCAACACTGTTTATAGTGGGGGCAGTGTGCTGCTGACCTCAACTCGGGATGTCGTGGGTCGGTGGGCGGAATACTTTGAAGACCTCCTCAATCCCACCGGCACATCTTCCACTGAGGAAACGGAGCCTGGGGACTCAGAGTTGGGCCCTCCAATCTCTGATGCTGAGGTCCCCGAGGTGGTTAAAAAGTTCCTCAGTGGCAGGGCCCCAGGGGTGGATGAGATTCGCCTGGAGTTCCTTAAGACTCTGGATGTTGTAGGGTTGTGTTGGCTTACACAACTCTGCAATATTACATGGACATCGGGGGAAGTTCCCCTAGATTGGCAGACTATTCAAAAAGGGGGACCGTAGAGTGTGTTCCAACTAGAGGGGGATTACGCTCTTAAGCCTCCCTGGTAAGGTCTATTTGGGGGTTCTGGAGAGGAGAGTCCGTCGGATAGTCGAACCTCGGATTCAGGAGGAGCAGTGCAGTTTTTGTCCTAGTCGTGAAACACTGGACCAGCTCTATACTCTCATCAGGGTCCTGGAGGGTGTGTGGGAGTTTGCCCAACCGGTCTACATGTGCTTTGTGAACTTGGAGAAGGCATTCGACCGCGTCCCTTGGGGAACCCTGTGGGGGGTACTCTGGGAGTATGGGGTACCAAGCCCTTTGATACGGGCTGTTAGGTCCCTGTATGGCCGGTGTCAGAGCCTGGTCCACATTGCCGGCAGTAAGTCGTGCTCGTTCCCGGTGAGAGTTGGACTCTGCCAAGGTTGCCCTTTGTCACCGATTCTGTTCATAACTTTTATGGACAGAATTTCTAGGCGCAGCCAAGGTGTTGAGGGGATCCATTTTGGTGGCATTAGGATCACGTCTCTGCTTTTTGCAGATGATATGGTCCTATTGACTTCATCAGATCCTGATCTACAGCTTTCGTTGGAGCGGTTCACAGCCGAGTGTGACACAGCCGGATGAAGATCAGTTCCTCCAAATCCGAGGCCATGATCTTGAGCTGGAAAAGGGTAGAATGCCCTCTCCAGGCCAGGGAGGAGGTCCTGTCCCAAGTGGAGGAGTTCAAGTATCTTGGGGTCTTGTTCACAAATGAGGGAAAGATGGAGCGTGAGGTCGATAGGCGGATAGGTGCAGCATCTGCAGTGAAGTGGGCG